CCCTAAGTGACAAAAGCAGAATTCATCCATGCTTCCTGCCTCCTGTGTGTGCACTCACCCCTGAGCTGGAGGTGTGGGAAGTGAAGATGGAGTTCAGCATAATGTGGGTAAGGAGTGGGGTAAGGTAGCTGAGCGGCTGGTCTGCGCTGCTGGAGATAACAAGGGTATGGTATCCTCGAGCCACAGCTGGCCAGCTGTAACAGTCAGCTGGAGACAAGGTGCTGTACTGCTTCCGCTGCACCTGGAGACAAACGGTCACTGTTAGAGGAAACCACCAAAAAACCGCACTTCCTCTAATGCCCACTAGATGCTGTCTCAGTACTACGACTCAAAAGACAGATGCTTCGTGAGCCATGGTGTCTACGTCCACCTTTTCTACTGACTGTTTGAAACTCAGATGGAGGTTAAAGAGCGGCGAGGGACTGACACAAGAGAAGACTGAGCAGTCACATGAGAGCGCGGATGAAACGAATAGTTATCAAATAAGATCAGTAATACAGAAAGGGTTTTATTGCCAAATGTTGCGCAGGTTTACAACATTAGGAAAACATACTGTAAGACAACACTTAAATAAAAATTAAAAGTGCTAAGTATATATATATGGTTCATGAGTCCAACAGCAGAGGGGAAGAAACTGTTCTCATGGCGAGAGGTTCTGGTGCGGATGGACCGGAGCCTCCTGCCTGAGGGGAGCAGGTCAAACAGACTGTGTCCAGGGTGAGAAGGGTCAGCTGAGATCCGAGCTGCACGCCCCAATGTCTTGGAGGCGTACAGGTCCTGCAGTCAATCATCTTCTCAGCAGAGCGCACAACACGCTGCAGTCTGTTTGTCCCTGATAGTGGCTCCAACGTACCACACGGTGATGGAGGAGGTGAAGATGGATTTGATGACTGCAGTGTAGAATTGCATCATCGTCCGTGTTGGTTGAGTTTCTTCAGCTGCCTCAGGAAGTACATCCTCTGCTGGGCCTTCAGCAGAGGATGAGTAATTAGCAGAGTAGTTACTTCCTAGCTGCTCTTTTTTATGGCTATAATTTAACTACTTCAGCTGTAGACACTGAAGGATTTCAGTCTGTTGAGACCAAAGGCATGAGTGCGGATTCCTGTCCCTCTAATAACCTTTAGGTAAGCTGACATACACATAAACATCTACTTCCGTCCAGAGTTGCAGTAATTTTTCACCAAGTACTTGAAATTATGATTCAAGAGTCAAACTGTGTGAAGTCTTCCTGGGGCTTCGGTCTGACCTCTGTGGTGTTGGATGCATTTTTTGGACTTCCAGAACCATCTTCCACAGTTTGTATGAATGCTGGAAGCACCACCCCAGTTAAACCTGGACTCATGAGACCATCCAACCACCAAGTGCTTTTGTTACTATAACACAGCAGTTTAGTCTCAGTCCCAAGGCCTCTTCGCGTTGTACACATTTCACCAACATTTGTTATGTCAGATCACGATGATGACCACGTTTCTTCGTCAAAGATGATGGTTCACCTCTGTCCTCCCAGGATTTAATATGCTGGACTCTTTTTTTTTAACACAGTTTCTGTACTTTCAGTTTCTCCTACGTTATTTCTTTGCTTGATGAAGGACAATAATTTGATCCCAATTCGAGTAAAAGCTTCTCTTCACCAGGACCATGTCTTCAAACACGGTAGGTTAAGAAATCAGAAGCTACTTACTGCTTCAGGGTTAAATAACCTGTTGCCAGTTGAAACCTACGAATCACTCTTACCTGTTTGCTTAGTTAAATCCAGGCGCTGATTTTTTTCGGCCAGGCTCTGATGCCTCGAGTCTCAGCATCGCTACGCTCACTGTCTGATCGCTCGGTCCTCATGGACAGCGACAGCGCCTCGCTGCGTTTTAAAATTATGGCGACAGCAGCACTCCCGTGTCCTATAAGGGAAGCTGATGCTCAAGTGCCTTAAACCTGCACTCGTGATCTTATGGTCTCACATGATAGTTTAAAATCTTACTGAATTTAAAATGTCCTTTATGTCAATCAGAGTCAAGTGTAAGCACACACTCGTCCTCAGATTCAACTTCAAATCAACCCCATGCTCAACGCTTTCATTGAAAAAACAATAAAAAGGTGCAGCAGTGTGTCCATCTTTTAAATACTCTAGATGAAGGAAATAATCAGTAAATTAACAACAACTTTATTTGTATTTCTGAACCATTTCTGAGAACATTTCAAATTTGAAATTGAATCTGATGCTGTGTTGTTAATAACGAAACCACTTTCACAACATTTGCAATTACACCTGAATGTTCAGGTCACTAAACTCTCGTTTCCTAGCATGTTAAAGATCCTGATGACAAACTCAGGGCGTATTCTTGTTTACCCAGCAGAGGGTGTCTGCGATGGCGGGGTCATTCACACTAATCCACGGCTCTGCTGGGAAGGTAGCGTGCACCAGAATCCCACTCCGGCAGGGGTCGAGGGGAGAAACCTGAGACATCCAGGTGAAAGGACAAAGGAGGCTTTAAATAACATCATGAGCAGTGTTTGCATGAGTAACAACCAATAAATCTACAGGCTTTCATTTTCATATTTTCTAAGAGGTAAAATAATTATTTTTAAAATTTTATTTGCACTCTAACTAAATCAGAGTTGTCTGCGTAAACGTACCACAGCGTCTTGGGCGTCGGGATCGGGGTTCAGAGCCTGTGGATTCAACAACTCCAACAGGCTGCATCACAGACAGAACATGAAGAAAATACTTCAGTCGAACAGTCTGGACACAAATTACTGCCTGACATAGTACTACACTACACAGCCACTTCATTAGGTACACCTTGGTAGTGGCAGGTTGGAGCTGCTTTTGTCTTCAGAGCCGATTTCATTTTACATGGCTCAGATTCAACAAGCTTCTGCAAACACTCCTCAGAGATTTTGGTCCATGTTAACAGGACATCATCACACAGCTGTAGCGTGCTTCACCACGTCTCAAAGATGCTCTTTTGGAGTGAGATTTGGTGAATGTGGAGGCCGCTGAGATGATGCTGAGAGGATGCTACGCTGTGGTCATAAAGGGATGGACACGGTCAGCAACAACACTCGGCTGTGGAGTTACAGGCAGGATGGATCCATGCTGTTATGTTGTTCATGCCAAACTTTGACCCTGAACCATTGCAGCAGATATAAAGATTCATCAGGTCGTACAGTGTTTTTCTATCTTTTATTGTCCACTTTTGGTGAGTCTGTGTAAACAGAAGCCTCAGTTTCTGCTGTGTAGCTCTTCTGCTTCAAGACAGAGATGCTCTTCTGCACACCTTGGTTGACTTGCTAATGGCCTTCCTATCAACTCAAAGCCGTTCTGCCCTTCTCTGACCTTAAACAAGGCATTTTCTCCCCAGAGAACTGCTGCTCACTAATCAGCCAATCACACGGGGCCTGATATTTGTTAACAAGCAGTAAGATACAGGTGTGTCTAATACAGTGGCCGGTGAGTGGATTTTACAAGCAAACTCAAAGAAATGATTAACACACCTTTTATCCAAGCCAGTAATTGTATTTTCATCATCAGGTGCAGTTAACACAATTTTAAAAAATAAATAAAATTGAATTAAATGAAAAACATTTCATGTCTTTACTCAGTGTTTATGTCTTATGGGGATCGAGGAAAGCTCAAAGACAGGAGCAGTATGGTTAAAACACAGTGTGCAGGAGCTTCTATCCTGTAATGTGTTTCTATCAGGTTGACCTGTGTCGTTGCTTCCTGAGAGAGAAAAACTGCAGCTCACCGTGCACAGGCCCAGTCCTTCTCACTGCGCTGGGTCTCCTCTGCTGGAGCCGAGGCGACAGATGTGCTGGAGCTGCTGATTAAAAGAGAAAATCAGAAACACGATTAAAGTGAAGACAAAGATGCTGAATGTGGAGAAAGCACACATTATTATTAATATTAATTAATCTCATCAGATTTTCCCGGGAATGTAGAACAGTCTACTGGAATTCTGTTTAGGTATAAAAGGATAAAGATGGAAGAACTACACAGAGAAGGAGCTGCACAAATGCCCGACATCACAGAAACGCTAGTTTTTACTCTGGCAGAATCTAAGAATATATTACGGGTGCAAAGATTCACGGTTCGATATTTTTTTCGATACAAATAAATGTTCATGCCTTTTTAATTTGTTATTTATTAAAGTTATAAAAGTACAGTTTTTAAATTTAATGTTGCTGAAACAAAAGTAATAAAAAAATAAATCTGATTGAGGAATCCCTCATCTTTGAAAAAGAGTTTATTACAGAGAAATGGCTCTTTCAAAATAAAAGCTATACTATAGCTTCTTCTGGGCTATATTCTCAGCAGCATATTAAACATATCAGGTCCCCATAAGGAGAATCCTGTGCTAACGGCTGTCTAAATGACTCGGGTAAAGTGTGTAGCATGTTTGCTTGTTGTTTTAGTCTGCTTCCACTTGTCTTTGCACTAGGATGATGTCGGAGTAAATGTGCAGTCATATTCGTTGTGCTCCCACTAGTGCTGTCAGCGTTAATCTCGTTGAAATGACCTTAACGCCACAACACGGCAAATCTCCGTTAACGAGCTACCGCGGATCATCCCGTGCATGGGGCTAGACGGCCAACACGTCGACAGTGCAGCCTAGGCGGAGTAGTCGAACGCAGATCCACTGAGCGCTCAACACAGACAGCATCGTTAGAAGGAAAGTTGATCAAATAAATTAAAAATGTTGTATTGTTCGATACATATGCGTACCGAACCAAAAGCACTGTATCGAACGGTTCAATATTGATACGAGTATCATTGCACCCCTAATATATATGTAAAATGCAGGTCCTGTTGTTGCACTCCAACATACCCCTAAGAGTACTTAGTATGACCATTTGGTTTGGTTTTTCCTCATGCAGAGTACTCTACCTTGCCTCTTCATCCACCAAAGATTCAGCCTGACAGCTCTGAAGATTCTCAGCTCCTGGTTTCTCACTGCTGGGACAGACTGCAGTCAGTGAGGGGAACCCAACAAATGAAGCAATCATCTCAGATAAAGACTACTATCTGGGCTAATTTTTGTCTTTTACCTCATCAGAGGCAACACCTCAGCTTCCTGCAGGGAAAACAAACCAAACAAGATTCTGGATTTTAGTTTCAGAAACATCACAGGATGGAACAGAGTTTAGTCACTAACAGCACCAAGTCTGTCCTGAGTCTGACCTCATAGCAGCCTGTTGAGGAATATATTCTAAAACACTTCTTCAGCAAAGACTCAGAGAAGAGAAACACAGAACTCTTGCTAGCAAGGGCAGCCTCCGGACTGAGACTCGCCTAAGAAACTGCCCTGGTCTTTATTTTATACTTCTGTGTGTGTGTGTGTGTGTGTGTGTGTGTGTGTGTGTGTGTGTGTGTGTGTGTGGGGTCAGAGTGTGACCCCATAAAATCTTCCCTAAACCTGCTGGTCTCAAAGTCCAACAGTTCATCAAACCAAAAAGCACTTAGACTAAAACAGATATAGCTACGTTAATCCTACCATAAAACAATAAAACAAGGTACGACCTCTCCCATGCTCCTAGGATGTGGGGGTGAACACTCTAGAGTCTAGAATGTTACAGACCTCCTAGGATGAGACATTCTTTCAATATGCCACCAACTATATACTTCTACACACAAATGATTACATGCAGCATTCTACCATATGCAAACTTATATCACTAAAAGATTATACTGACTACTAAATACAATTTTCCATTGACACAGCCGTACCACACAGGCTCAAATGTTCTTACTATGAGCGGGTGGAAATCCAAATCTCAGTCATGAGTGGGCACATCATCTAAAAGCTGCTCTTTTTTCTGTACGAGTGCAGCAAACCTGCAGCACGTCAAGCCGACTGGACATTTACAACAACCAGCTGCTGACTGAGATGCTTCCTCCTGCATGAAGTATCAACTCAAACCTTCAGGAGGATTCATGCCTGCACGACATGTGTACATTAATGAGCGCCCCCTGCTGACACCGCTGGAGTACACGGCGGGCTCAGCTGTTAGAACCTAGTTGGTCCAACCTGCACCTGCAATGTTGGAAAATGCACTCACCTGGGGAGCTGCCAGCTCGGAACTGCTGCCCGGCTTCATAAACTGTAGAAACCTGTGAGGAGGGGGCGACAGCCCATCACACATGATGATATAAAACATCATGTGCCTGCGATCTGAGACTGTGGCCGACTCACCTGAACAGCTGATGGTTTTTTGTGAGGGCTGCAGCCAGAGACGAGTCTGCGTCGTCTGACGAGCTGCTGAAAAGTGAACAGAGGCCACTTGGTTGCTTTTAATCGGAACTATGCTGAACTGAACAACTGAACGGGCGCTCACCTCTCAGCTGCGTCTGAGCCGCTCCCTGACTGGCTGTTTGGAGACAGCTGTTGTTTTGTGACCACTGACCAATGTTCACCTCCAGCCTTCATCAGCTTGTGTTGTACAATCTAAAGCAGAGACGTGAGAGTTCAGCACATGTGGTTGTTTCATTAGAACACAGATAAAAGTGAGTGAGCTAGCAGGGCTGCATACCTGAGGAAGCAGGGAAGGAGCTGTAAGCCAATCAGCTGCCCCCCCAGCTTCAACCAGACTCTGCTGATCTGGGACACAGAAACAAGCACCGGAACAAATACAGCCATATGAATAAGAAGGTGCACTCTCTTTCATGTTTCAGGCCATCAGCCCGACAGATAAAGCTCGGCAGCAATAAGATGACTGAAAAAGAACAAATCATGGCACTGCAGCGACCCAGAGCTCAACAGACTGAAAAGCTCATAAGAGCAGAAATGATGGTAGAGAAGTAGCCAATTGTTAAGAGCAGGTGTTGTTAAGCATTAATGCAAACTACCAGGTATTTTATTTCCTTTGTTTCCTGAGGGGCCACCGCAGCAGATGGATCCATGTTTGATTTGTTGCAGACAAATCAAACATGGATGAAACCAACATGTGCTGAGAGCGGTGAGCCAGAGTTCATATATCTGTTTACCGGGAGGCGGTTGGGTTTGTGCTGTCGGCTTGGGGGAGACGCTCTGGGTTAAGATGCTGTAGGACAGCATCGCAGGAAGTCGGTCTCCCTCCTCCAGGCCGTCGCCTGATTTTGTGCTGTAGTAGGCAAACCTCTTCGCCACCAAGTCGTCATTCACACAGATCTGTTTAAGAAAGGTTAATACAAACGTGATCACATGTCTCCAAACAAGTCTGCGTGCAAAATAAAGGCTTTTTAGTCAAACTTCACCTTGATGTCACCAACAGTCACGTAAAGCTTGATAGGGGTAGAGTCTGACTCAGGTTCAAGCAGCACGGCCTCCTTTAGGGTCGATGCTGTGAGATGAAAGACGAGTCGAGCTCAGAGATGCATTGCACCGAAACATAAAAACTAATGTTAATGGCGTTCAAGCAGCAGCAATAACACTCACCTTGCAGCAGCTTGTGCAGGAAGAGCGTGGCAGAGCTGTCCCACCGAGCCGACGGTCTGCAGAAAAACACAATAAATATCTGCAAATGTGCTCCGTTGTAGCCTCCAAACTACGTGAGATGAGCTCGCCTTACTTGAGCTCTGCCTTCTCCTCAAGCAGAGACACTCGCAGGGTTGTTGGTTTGATTCCCGCCAGGTGGAACTTTTGCACCCAGAAAGGCAGCTGAAGGAAGTTTTCCATTGCCACCCGAATCCTTTCAAAGGGGATAGAGTTAAAAACCAAACAGATGCAAAAAAA